TGCAAAAGTGCTCGCAGAAACCCGGGTCCCGGAAAACTGATACATTATAGTTCTATCTGCGTAGGCGTGGGCGCACATTGCATATCTATGTTGTGCTCATGACGTTTCTGGCTCCAATATAGACGGTGCAAGTGCAATTAAGCATCTCTTGAACACGACTTTGGTGGGGCGTTTTCTGGGACCCACGTTCAGCCGTTGAGATAGCCGTGAACTAACACCCGAAGCGCCCTAAACCCAACACCCTGAACCCTAAACCCCTAAACCCCGTAAACCCCTAAACGCTGAATCCTAAACCGTAAACCCCTAAACCCCTAAACCCCCTAAACCCCTAAACACTGAATCCTAAACCGTAAAACCCCGAAACCCCTAAAGCCCCTAAACCCCTAAACACTGAATCCGGAACCCTAAACCCAAAGCCCTAAACCCAAAGCCCTGAACCCTAACACCCGAAGCCGAAGACAGCAGCATGAGAGCGGGCCAAGGTCAAGAGTTTAGTTTGCAGCGTGCTCTTCGTTGTCGCCTGCGGCGGAGGCAGTCCCGAGAGCAGTTTGGGTTGTTGGGATTTAAGGCTCTGGGTTTTAGGATTGAAGGCTTTGGGTTTAGGATTGAAGGCTCTGGGTTTTTAGGATTCAAGGCTCTGGGTTTTAGGATTTAAGGCTTTGGGTTTTAGCATTGAAGGCTTTGGGTTTTAGGATTGAAGGCTCTGGTTTTAGGATTTAAGGCTTTGGGCTTTAGGATTGAAGGCTTTGGTTTTTGGATTTAAGGCTTTGGGCTTTCGGATGGTTCAGCACTGCGGTTTTCGGCTCCTGCTGCATTATGTATGTTTTCTAACCCATTCCCTCTTGGAACTGTTGTGTCGTGCTTCTTGATCGTACCAGCGGAACCCTAGACCCTTAACTCCCGCTAAGCCCTGAACTTTAAATTCTAAAACCCTAAACCCTAAGCCCGAAATTTCCTAAACCATACCCTGCAGGCTTCAGCTTCTTGACGAATGAGACACGCCCCGAGAAGCAGTTTCTCGACCGCTTCTGCAGCAGAGCTTTACGCTTGCATCCCAAAGGTTGGATTCTACCTATTTTCTGCTACCGTTGCTCGGGCTCTCTTTCCGATTTGCTCTCTTTCCGATTCCTGCGCAAGCGACCTGAAGGGATGTTCTTGTGCCGGGAGGGCTTGTACAAATTGTAGTATGGTGTAGTTGACCTACGGCTTGGCTTGGGGCGTTTTGTGTACATGTACGTGTAATTGATGGCAGATTCGGATTGCTGACCCTACTACCAAGACTGCTCGGATTGTAATGGTATATTGATGCGGTGATTCGGCTTCAGGATTCCGTGCCAAGGCATGGCAGTACTATTTATTAGATATTATCCACAAGATCGTCATTTATATCACTAGTATGTCTAGTATCGCTAACTATTGCTGCGAGTATTGTTATTACTCTTAGTCTTATACTACTAAAACCCTAAACCCTAAACCTTAAACCCAAACCCTAAGCCCCAAAATTATGATTATGATGAGCATTCAACACTTTCCGCGCGCCGAGGTGGGTGCCAGCGGGCTCCCTAGCCTTGGACCACAACGAGTATGCAGCCTGGCTGCTGCTTAGGACTTGACGTAAAGGCCTAGTCTCTAGGGGTGAGTTTAGGGTTTAGGATTTTGGGGTTTAGGGTTTAGGTGTTTAGGGGTTTAGGGTTTAGGGTTTAATGTAGGGGCCGAAATAATTACCTATACTATTTTGGGGTTCCTTATCCCTAGCCCCCCAAGTACCTACTATATAGGGCCCGGGGGGCTCTAGTACCCTATATAGTAGGTACCTGGGGGGTTAGGGTATTATAATTATTGTACAATGGGGCCCCAAAACCTTATTCTAATCATTCTAAGCATGGCCCCTACATTAAGTGTTTCGGGAGTGTTCCGCACTCGAGGTTTCAAGATTCTGAGCAGGCCTTCGGTGATATTTTACATGTTCCCTTCTTTGGCTTAGTCGGACCTTCACGAACATGTTTCAGAGGCTTTTCAGGGCCACCCTAGAATTGACAGAATTGGATGTTGTCAAGACCAGAGGTGGGGTCTGTTGCGGCCAAGAATGCAACGCAGTGAACACAGACATCCTGGGATGAAGCCGAAGCTTTCTGCTCTCCGTCAGATGCCGGTTGGGAACGCCAAAAAATTCTAGACCCTAGACCTCTAAACCATAAGCCCTAAACCCGAAACCCCTACTATAGGGGGCCTTAATAATTAGAATAGGATTTTGCGGCCCATTGTACTATAATTATAATAAAGAACCCCAAATAGTATAGGTAATTATTTAGGCTCCTACATTAAACCCTAAACCCCTAAACATCGAAACCCTAAACCCCCAAATTCTAAACCCTAAACTCACCCCATAGAGACAACATCCCTAGCCTGTGCCAAGAATACCTCAGAAACAGAAACCTTTCCCAGGTTCCGCAGTAGTAAATATAGGGGCCTGAATAACTACCTATACTATTTGGGGGTTACTTATCAGAAGTATGGTATAATGGGCCCCAGAACCCTATTCTTCCAATTATTAAGGCCTCTATAGTACCCTTTGACCCTTCTTCTTGTGGGTTCGCCTTCTTAAAACCGAACATTAGGAAACAGGGTGCCCTTGTTATTAAGAAGGTGCTTGGGAACCTAGTTTCTAGTCAAGCACAGCTCATGCAAACCAAGATCCCCAAAAGGAGCACAGCCATGCAGGAAGAATGGAGTTTCTAGGGAGCCATGCTTAAAGAATCCGTAACTTTTGTTAAGCCGGTTGTAAATAGAGTTGTAAGTAGGATGGACCCAATCAAGGTATTTACAACTCCGCATATGAGCTCTTTGCTCAAAGCTGTGATTTTTGTAGGACCTCTAATCAAGAGCCGTTATCACCCGTCTAAGCTCTGTACAGTATCCGTAAGGCCCTGTGACACAATGCGCAGCATGAGATAAGGAAAAAGAGGAACGTGCAAGCCCTGAGCCCCATACCGGCCAGGTACAGCAGACATTTCCCAGCAACTCTCGCTTTAACCTCTTTACTGCTACCTGCAACGACGTGGAGGAAGCCGACTGTCACCTGGCCTCAAGACTATGGCCGCTAGGCGAGACTCCCTAAACCATAAACCCTGAAGCCAAAAACCCTCAGGGTTTAGGGTTTAGGGTTTAGGGCCAAAAACCCTGAACCCCAAACCCTAAACCCCAAGCCCTGAATCCTAACTCCTTTAAGGTAGGATCCTCTAAGGTTATCTCCAAAAAGCAACTACAATGGGGCCTATGGGTACGCCCAAATAAGACTGGCAGTGTGAGCAACTAGGATCCCCAGTAGTACCCTTTTGTCCGATTTGTTTTGGGGTATCTAGAACTAGGGTTTAGGGTTTAGGGGTTTGGGGTTTAGGGTTTAGGGGTTTAGGGTTTAGGGTTTAGGGATTTGGGGGTTTAGGCTTTA